ATATATATATATATATATATATACTAACTGGTATTCCTGGATGTTACTTTCAATACATGGTCTAGTAGTACTGTACATATAAATAACATGCGATGCATCATATTAGTGCAGTATGAATGATGATCATACTAAAACAGACCAAACACAAGAACTTTGAAGAAGTACAAGGATGGATGATTTTGCCCAGCAACTGAACAGATTCCATTATTTTTATAAACCCCAAGTACACGTAAGACATTTTTTTATGTATTAAAATGTATGTTATGATTCAAAAATTAAATGTATTGAAACAAATGGACAGTACGAGCTTCGCTCTCTCCAGGCCATGCCTGAGTCATATTATATGAACAGAATAAGATAAAAGAAATAACCATAAATCAACGTTCTCTCTAAGTTAGCCAAAGGTTTGTAGAACTTTGCGTTCTGATAAAGACTTATTTCCTTGGATAGGAAAGGGATTGCTTCCCCTGACAAACTCTTCTCTGTTTGAAGAGTAAATAAACCGGCAGCCGAAAGAAGTCGTGCAGGAATCATGTTGTCGCGACGGATTCTACTTTTGAATCATGTCGCATACAGAAACACAATTATCAGGTAAAGCCATTGCAATTTTATAATTTATAACAAGTATCAAAGCAACGTAAAGCCATGTTGACATTGCGCCATATGTAACCGTAAGCTATATGTTGCCATATTTCTATGACCTCTGGTTACCTGATGTTTTTTCGCCGGTTATGTAAAGATAAGTAATAGTGGTGTTCTGAAAATCGCTTGGTTGTAGTTTCTGTACGGTATTATTCCGTATGGTCGTCAGATCTTTCTGGAAGGATATTGACATGTACGCCCCATTTAAGTGTGTCTGCATTATAAGTTATAATTCAAAAGTATCTTTACTTCTACTTTGTAGTGACCGTCTTCAACACGCTGAAGTTTATGTCAAATTATTTATTTTACTTGAGTCAGATTATAGTTTACCTGTTGTAGTGTTGTACCACAGACTTAGATATCTAATGTTCCGTGGTAGTATTAATAATAATACCCGGCCTCCTCTGCTGACTGCGCAATATATAAAAAATGTCTCTCCTTCAGAAGATACATTATCGCAGCTACTTGTAGTGACAACCTGAGTTTCCTCTGGCCCTGACACCAAACTTAGACATTTTGACAGATAGATGTCTGGTGTGGGGCCAGAGCACACTACTATATAGCTGCGATAACGTAGCTTTCTGATGACCAGAGTTTTTTTTTTTTATATATTGTGTCGTCGGAGCTACAAAGCCTCCTATGCCAACTAATGGAGCAAAATTAAAAGTGCTAATCTGTGAGATTACATATAATTTACGCCTCATATGAGTATAATATTATAAAAATAAAATAATCCTTACCAATAAAAAAACTCTTTAAAAAAAAAAAGTTTTTGGGAAAAATAGAAACGACCGCCCTGTTCTGTTTACTACAATTTCATATTGGGTCATGACACCCATATTTAGACGTCTGACCTTTATCGGAAGAGAGAAGAACTTTCCAACATGGCGGTCAATTCAGATTTCGATTGCACTTGCTACGTTTTAGGCAGAGTTAAAAGTTATACAGGATATCAACAGAAATAGTTCATACTACAACCCTATTTATGAATGCTGAACCAATGTGCTGTCAATTAATTCTAAAATCAACCGGGTGTGATTCACACCGGGCTTGCTTAATTACAAGGCATGGGATCGGTTTAATACCCGGCCGGGTATTAATATTAGTACTAACTACTATATGAAAAAGAAGTGGTCCAGAAATCTTCTAAACAATAATAATATTCTCCGTTTTCGGTCTGGATCAGTACAGTTTGTTGATTAATCATCCACATGACCTACAAAAATGGCAAGTAAAAGCAAAAAGTCAGATTCCTCAAAAGATAGATTGGTCAATGGCTGTGAATTTAAATTAGAAATATGATTTAATTTTTAAAAGAAAAAGCTGTTTCACTACCAAGAGTAGGTTTAATCATTAAAGCTTATTCTGCTTTACTCCTCAGATGCTGCAGTGAAAAAGCTTCCCTGAATAAGTTCCCTCATGTAGCCCCAGTCCCGAATCCAGAGGAAATTCCTCACGACCATGACCGCCCTGTTCCCGTGAAGAGGAAGATACGGACTAAAGTCACAACACCACTGTTTGCCATCCTGTTAAATAGATTTGAGAAACTGCTTGAACAAACAGTGCCCAGAAAAGTATTTCAGAAATACAGCTGGGCTAGGGATGGTAAGTCTTACTCCATCATATCCTGGGTCAAATTTTCGTATAATGATACAGGCTATTACACATGAATTTTAAGCTACTGTAAATTTCTATTTTCCAATAAAAAATAATAAACTGTTACAGGTCTAACAGACAGTTTTAGATCATCATGTTTCTCGTTGGTTGTAAGTTTAGCAGTTTACAAGAATTAGCCAATAAACAATGTTGATACATTTATAGCGACAATAAACTTTTTTTTTGGGGGGGGGGTGTACTTGTGTTCAGGAATGGCAATGCTGGTACAGTAATAAGATAAGATTACTGATCAGTGTCAGTATCATTGTGATGCAACCTGATATAGAATGGCATGACATATCACTACTGTGGTGCAATATACTGTAAAAAATATTTACCTTAGGCAAAGCACATGTATACCCTGGTAAAAATATCTTTTAAATGGTCTTCTGTAAAACTACACATTTTGTATTCAAAATTGATAAATAATAATAGTATAATAATAATAATTTGAGGTTCTTATATACCGCTTTTTCATAACTTAGTTTGTAGGTCGTCTCAAAGCAGTTCACAAATTATAATCAATGGTTATAGGGCCTTTGCAACCAGCCAATATCTTTCTCAACTCTCTGGGGAGCATACAGCCATGTCTGCGCTCACAGCTATAACATTCAACAATTCTAGCTCTTCCCAACCACATACTCATTTACAGCTGAGTAGACTGGAACAAGCAGAGTAAAGTATCTTCCTCAAAGATACAACGCTGTGCTGTGAGTCGAACCTGCAACCCTTCGGTCACGAGCCCCGGCGCACTATACCACTAGACTACCGTGCCTCCTAAAAAAATAAATAGTTTTTGTTTTTTGAAAAAAAAATGGGCGATTTATCCCTACATATTGGAATGCAGATTCAGATACAAAAACATCTTCAAAAGTTTTTAAGTGGTTCAAATCAGTAATACTGAGATTTGCCAAAATCCAACCTTTCAAATTATAAAAGTTGTATCAGAAAGAAAAAGGGGCTATCTTCAACATACTTTTTGGAACAAAGGTTGTTTGGAAAGATTCAAGGGAATTCCTAAATAAAATAATTATATACAGTCTGCAATAAGCCAAGGGGGCCAACACAAAATCTCTTACTCAAAAGTAGGGACGGACAATGATAAACAGGACAGTGATACAGCATTTTGTTTGCATGGGCTTATTGATGGATAAATACTGTACCATATTTTTCTGGCAATACACCAATTCCTGGTAATGAGCCAACCTGTATTTTAATATATTGCAGGTCAGTAGAAATGCAAACAAACATTTCCTCTTTGCCTGTTATATAACCGACCATTGTTTTATGTAAGAAGTTATGTGTTTCCCCCTTGGGCTTATTACCAGATAAATACAGTAAATGTTTTCAGTTCTTGATCTCGGCAATCATATCTATATTAGGGTTTAATGCGATTGCAGGTCATCTAATTATGTATTTATTTATGTTTTAGGCATGATCGAACTTAAAGACGACACAAAAATATATTTTGATGTCTCCAAAAGGATAAGTAAAGGTGATGAATTCAGCACATTTACACGAAAAGAGCTATCCGTCTTCAATCAGGTACGCTTCATAGAGTACCATCTATAAAACCTAGAGTAAATTTCCTCTGTAATTCCTCAGACCACTCGTTTAAAAATATGATGCTCCAGACTGACATTTAGTTCTTTTATGGTGGGCTATTCAAATCACCCTGCGTCCGTGCATCCATCCGTCATTCCGTCCGTCCTTAAACATCTTGTTAGCCCTATTTCTCGGAAAGTACTGGAGGGATCTTTCTCAAATTTCACATGAAGGATCCCCATGATCCGTAGTTATGCATATCATGTTTTGGGACTGATCGCAAAACCAATATGGCCAACAGCTAGCCATCTTTAATTTGAAAGTTAAAAATTGTTAGTGCTAGCCATTTCCCAGAACCAATTGGAAGGATCTTTCTCAAATTTCACACGAAGGTTCTCAATGATCCCTAGTTATGCATATCATTTTATGGGACTGATCACAAAACCAAGATGGCCAATAGGCAGCCATCTTGAATTTGAGAGTTTAAGTTTGCTAAAGCTATTTCCCATAACTTATTGGAAGGATCTTTCTCAAATTTCACATAAGAGTTCCTCTTGTTCTTAGTTATGCATATCCAATCATATTGGTCGGCCATCTTGTTACAGTTTAAGATTGTTAACGCAATTTCTCAGAATTTACTGGAGGAAAATTTGATATGTAGGTTCCCCTTGGTCCTGAGTAGTGTATGTTAACTTTTGAGGGTGATAAAAAGATTGATTGAGATGGAGGACAGGCAAACTGATCAAACATATTTGACGTAAATGGTTTGGTACATCACTTTTCCAAGATAGTTCAATAAGTAAACATGAAAGGTATAGGCCCCCTAAGGCAGAGACGCAGGCCCCCTGAGGCAGAGAAGCAGGCCCAAAGAGCAAATGGCAGTAAACCAGTCGAGGAGAGAGATACAGGACTAAATGACCTCTTGTTCTAGTGATAAACAAAGGGTGTACTCCTCATCCACATGTATCAGAGGAAACAGGTCTAGGAGAGATACAGGACTAAATGACCTCTTGTTCTAGTGATAAACAAAGGGTGTACTCCTCATCCACATGTATCAGAGGAAACAGGTC